GTCGGAGTCTCGGGACCTCTGTGGGCAGCAGACAAACACTCGGTCAGATAGAGCGGGAGCGGGGCTTTGTCATCTGGATGCGGTGACTCAGGAGAGGGGCCCAGCAAGCCAGGGGTCAGGGGCCTCAACAGCCCCAGAGATTCTGCGAATTTCAGCTCCTGTGTATGAGCTGCAATCGAAAACTATGGTGAATCCGTAACTTTTGAAGTTTATTACAGTAAAGGCACATGGTTAGGGCTCCACCTCGAAATCCTCGCTCTGGGAACACACCGGTCCCGTCGGCCTTGCCGCTTCCTGCAGCCGCTCCGGAGCCCTCTTTCCTGAGGGTCTGCAGTTGTGCGGTCCTGGCAGCTGCAGTGTCCTGGATCCACTCAAAACCTTTCCCTCTCCCGGTCGTGTTGACTTGGGGAGGAGTCACAGTACCAGGACCAAGGCAGATGAGGACACAGCGTCACGTTTTTACGCGCTGCCTTTCCACGATGGTGCTCGGCTGCAGCGTTCTCCATATTTTTTATCACGTCCTGTAAAGACCCTCAGGAAAGAGGGCTCCAGAACTGCCCCGGAGAGTGACAGGGATGGTGGGAGGAGTGTGAATGACGCGGGTAGGGGAAGCCGTGATGATGTGTCGTTCACTGTAATGATTGCCTCTGTATTCCAACACACACTATGTATTTTGATCATCCCTTATATGAGCTGTCTCTCCCTTTTCCTCCCTCCCTTCCTCCTTCTCCTCTTCTCCTCCTCCTTCTCCTCCCCCGTGAACATGGCAGATATTTCCCCAACACCCCAGGACCCCCAAATCTGCAGCCCTCAGCTCACCCTCTGACTCTCTGTGAAGTCACCAAGTCCATATTTCCAGGGCAGAGAATGCCATTGGTCCAGGCTGGGTGATGTGTCCCTCTCTGGTCCAATCAGCTGTGGTTGTGGGCGGGATCACACGGTGCACTGGGGGGAGCGCCACCTCCTACCTCCAGACGCCTGGGTCCAGCCCCTCTCAGCCCTTCCCCCTGCTTGTTGGTCTCCGTGGCAACACCTCCCTTCCCTCCATCCCAGGGTGGAGCTCCTGCCTGATGGATCCCTGAGGATCCAGCCCGTCCTCTCCCAGGACGCCGGCCACTACCTCTGCCTGGCGTCCAACTCCGCTGGCTCCGATCGGCAGGGACGCGACCTCCAGGTCTTCGGTAGGTGGACGGGGAGGGCTGTGTTCCTTGCCTCCGTAAGCCAGTCCCTTCTGGGGACCAGTTCTTCCTTGTTTCTGGGCTACCCTGGCTGACGGAAGCTGAGAGCAAAGGTTTCCAAAGGTTTTTTGACTGTGAAATCCCTTAGTAAAAAGCTCGGATCATGCACAGAGGAAGGGTGTGTATTTATTTGCTTGCAGATTTCACACACTTAATACTGCCCCGCTCTCCTGAGTGAGTGTAACGTGTTCACAGCAGGTCAAACAAGGGGAGATGCTCTAGCAAAACTCCTCCCAGTCCAGGCTGGGGGGCCTCGGCCTGGTGGGGCTGCCGGGCAGCTAAGCTCTGCCGGCCTCCTCCGGGCAGAGGCTTGGGGGTCACCAGGCTCAGGGCCAAGGGGAGGCCGAACCCCCAGCGTGGGGCCCCGTTGGAGGTTCTCTGGGGCCTTTTCCTACTCTGTGGGGTCGGTAGAGGTGGCAGTGAGCACCCCAAACAGACTGAGCCCCAGCATAGCCTCAGACAACCCCATCCTGCTCCCGCCTCTCTGTCCCCAGAGCCTCCAGCCATCGCTCCCGGCCCCTCCAGCCTCACCCTCACTGCGCCCAGCCCGGCCACGCTGCCCTGCGAAGCCAGCGGCTCCCCCAAGCCCCTGGTGGCCTGGTGGAAAGACGGACAGAAGCTGGACTTCCGCACGCAGCAGGGCGCCTACCGGTACGAGGCACTGTGCGTCAGGTGCAGGTCGCGGTCATCCTGGGGCCTAAGCCGGGGGCTCAGGACAGCGAGCCCTCTGCCTGGGGCTTCCAGAGTGGTGGGCAGAGAAGTTACTGCAGCCGGCATGAGAAACAAGGGATGGAAACAAAACCACACAAACCCAAGGCTAAAACTTGAGGGATAGAAACTTCTAGACGATGCTTTCTTTGGGGGAGGGAGGGGTGAGGGTGAGACAGGGCCTTGATGTGCAATCCAGGCTGGCCTTGAACTCACAGTGACCCTCCTGCCTCAGCCTCCCAGGTAATGGGAACAAAGGCGTGTGCCAGCACAGCCAGCTCGAAGACATTTTAGAGGGAAGAGATTGCCAGGTGCCGGCAGCCACGCTGCCGAGGGGGAGACAGGACAGCCATGTCGGCTCACACAGGTGGTCTGCTTGTCTGTCTGTCCATCTGTCCAGGATCCTGCCCTCCAATGCCCTGCTGCTCATGGCCCCTAGTGCCCAGGACTCAGCTCAATTTGAGTGCGTGGTGAGCAATGTGGTGGGCGAGGCCCGAAAGCTCTACCAGGTGACCGTGCAGGGTGAGCGAGGGCAGGTGTGGACTCCTCCTCCGGAAGCCTCCCTGGATCCTGCTCGCTCCCCCACTCCCGTACCCTGGGTACAGCACAGCGTCCCGTGATGGGCATACGCAGGAGAGACTCCTCCCGGTCCCGTGTCGTCTTGCCCTGTTGCACCTCCACGTCCTGGTTCAGGTCACCCCACAGGCTGCCTTGCTCTGGGAACCGGCTGTGCTGCCGGCCTCCCGTGCACGCAGTGTCCCCACGGCCCAGGACTACTGTTCCCTTCACCCAGCCCACACTCGCTTTCCTTACAGACACCGGGCTCAGTGCCGCATCCCGGGGAGGCCTCCCTCCGCTGCCCTCACCCCAAGTCATGGCTGCCCTGGGCCCCTGACTTTATGGGCCTCTCAGAGCCTCCACGGAAAGTGACTCATGACCATGGCCTGTGCCCCAAACTTGTACGGAGTGAGCGGACGGGCCACGGCCATTGTCCCCGCCTCCCTCCCTGGTCCTGGGCCCCTAAAGCCGCCCTCTGCATGGAGCTCTCGCCCCACCCCACCCAGCCCGGTCTCCCCTGCACCTCAGCAGGGCCTCGGGCCTTGTGCTGGGTTGCAGAGCCCCCGACCATCGCGGACGACCAGACGGACTTCGCCGTGACCAGAATGGCGCCTGTGGTCCTCACCTGTCACAGCTCGGGCGCACCGGCCCCGGCCCTGTCCTGGAGGAAGGCGGGCACCCAGCTGGGGGCCAGGGGGAGCGGCTACCGCGTCTTGCCTTCCGGTGCGTAGGGGGCAGCCACGGAGAGTGCAGGGGGAAAGGCAGCCTCAGTTTCCCCTCTGCACGCTGCAGCGTTGACACCCGGAGGGCCCTGAGGCTCGGCAGCTCCATGCTCTTTGAAGCATGAAGGAGAGGTCCCAGCTCTCAGGTCTGTGTAAAGCTAGTCTTACCCCTGAGCAGTTGCTGTCTGTTCTGAAGCTACACTCTGTCTCCTGGTGTAGAGAATTCCTTCCTTTGATGAAATTAAGATGAGAGTAGAATTTTTTTTTTTTACAACTGGGGTTGAACCCAGAGCCTTCACACTGAGCAACATCCTCGACTCCTTTTTTTTTTTTGAGACAGAGCTTATTAAATTGCTAAACTCCAGGCTGGGCTTGGGTGTGCAGTCCTCCTGCCTCAGCCTCCCAGAGTGCTGGGGTGCCAGGCATGTGCTGCCACGCCTGGCTGCGTGGTGATTTTTGAAACGTCTTTGCTTGTCAGAATGAAAGGTTAGCACCTTTCTGGGGATTCCCCAGATGAAATTGTTGGTTGGTCAGGGAAATCCTAAGCTGGGAGCCGCCAGTTCGCTGTGTGGTTTTCAAGCTCGTCTGAGGCGGCACAACAATTCCTTCCTGCTAGTGGTTACGGTGGAGAATGTCAGCTCCAGATCCATCGGGGCTGGGCCGGGCTGAGGGGGGGTCTGAGCTAGCAGGCCTGGCTCCTCCAGCACCCGGTGGCCCTGGGGGTCCACCCGGGACACCTGGAGGCTCCTGGACCTGGCTGTGGCCCGAGGAGGGGCAGTGGTTCCCACTAGGCACCAG